GCTTTGACACGAAAGTTTGACACTACACGACCGCCTAGGCAGCGAGAACTGAGTGGAAAAGACAGTACTCCAATCGTCGGTCCCGTGTTCTGAGTTAGATCACGAATTTCACTCTAGGCAAGCTACTTCCTTCCTAAAAAAATTCGAGGTGTTGACGTCCCAAAATCGCCAAAAGGCGCTCGGTTTCGCACGAAACTTGCACACACGACGCGCTAGGCACGTGAAACTTGTGTGGAGAGACGGGCTCCAATCAAGTTCCCGGTTTGTGAGTTAGAGCTAGATTTCACTATAGCAAGTTAGCGTTAATAAATTGAATTCGATTGTGTGACGCCCAAATCGCCAAAGCGTCTGTTTCCCGAACTGCGCACACCGCCCTAACACGAGAAACTTGTAGGAGGATTGACAGGACTCCTAATTCGCTTCCGTTGAGCTTTCTATGTAATGACTCTTTACTTCTGACTCTATAAATAAAATAATAACTCCCTAAACTCCACTTGGTTAGCCCTCTTTCTATAGGACTCTTTCCTTATCGCTTAGTCCGAATATACTCAATCCCTGTTCGGTTTGCACGAGACATTGCCTCTCCATGACCCCAACCGATATAGTCATCTCTCGAGAGCTACCGCTTCTACTATCGCCTTCGGCTGCGCGGTCTCCGGCTGTGCAGTTAAAGTCGATTTCATCTTAGGCAAAAGTAGTTCCCTCACAGAACCATCTTGAATTCGACGTGTTTGACACCCAAATATCCAAACGCCGTCTGGTTTGGCACACAAACTGGCCAACATGACGCCTAAAGACGTATATGTGGACGAAGGAAGTGCAGCCCATAAGTCGTTTTCCGTGGATTGTAGGAGTAAGAGCCCGAGGTGTTCGGCAGCAATCACTAGAACAATTACTCTCTAAGATATTTATGACAATATCGAGTGTTGCAGTAGTGACGCCCAATAATTGCTTAAACGCGTTCCGATTGTCATTATACTTGAACACACACTCCTAGGCAACGATCCTATGAGAGAGAACGGCTCGATTCATTCTTCTCTAGCTAATCTGGCTTATATTGCCTATTGATATCGTCTGAGGACAAGTAGTACCTTTAGATATATTGAATTTAGAGTCTATTGACACCCCCACACACATTTGCCTAAATCGTCGTACGAATCTTACAACAAACTGACACCACCGACACCTATTGCACGAGAGAGACTTGTGCTTGATCGTATCACTCTCAATTTACGGTTTTGCGAGATAATGAACTTATTTATCTATAGCACTCACTATTCCTATAGAATCATGATCGAGCGACGCCCGAAATGATCATATATAAGGTGACCCTTATCGCTCTCAATCTCTGAGTTCTACCAAACGTCTCAGATCTACCGTAAACATGTAGCGAGATAACCTAGGACCTCCACATTGGAGTTCGCGACTGTTGAGTTAGAGCCGGATTTCGCTTCTATTCAATAAGTAGCTTCCTTATTGTAAGACTGATTCGAGCTGTGCACGCGCGGCGCCTCGTCAACTCTTCGGATTAGCTCAGCCTGCCAACTTATGCCTGCCTAAACACAATATGGAGGATTTGTCCTGACGCCGCACTCCAAATTGAGTTACCCGATTTTGCAGGAATGTTTGAATATACGGATTCTTCACTACTTGCAGAAGTAGTTCCATAACGAATTGAATCGACCTTGGTGTTGACGCCCAAATTACCATGTTCGTCGCTTGACACGACCAACTGTAACTACACGACGACACACCCCTTAAGCCCGCTAGCACATTAGTGCGGTATTAGACTGATAAATCTCGTCCATCTATATTGACTCCAGAACCTTGAAAAGAAACTTACCGCATTACTTCCTGATAAGAGTATTCAACCGTTTTCTTCCAACAAAGTCACTACATTCCTATGTGTAGAATATAGAGAATATTGATCCGATAGTTTTGTGATATATGTTCGTTGACAAGCCGAGACTCACCGTTTGTATATTTTGCGGTCAACACCTCGAATTCAATTTCTTAAGGAATACTTTGCTCAGAGTGAAATCCGGCTTTAACTCCCAAACCGGGAACCCAATTTCGAGCCGTGTCTTCTCCCAAAAACTCTATTGTGTTTAGGCGTCATGTTGTGCCAAGTTTCGTGCCGAACCGACGACGTTTGTATTTCGGGGCGTCCACACCTCGAATTCAATTTTCATAAGGAACTATTTTGCCTAGAGCAAATCCGGCTCTAACTCCAAAATCGGGAACCCAATTGGAGTCCTCTCATCTCCACATTTCTCGTGCTTAGGCGGTCTTGTGCCCAGGTTTCGGGCGAAACAGACGCCTTTTGGCAAATTTCGGGGCGTTTCAACGCCTCGGTTAATTCAAGTTTTTAAGAACTAGTTTGCCTAGAGTGAAATCCGTCTCTAACTCCCAAACCGGAACCCATTGGAGTACCGTTTTCCACAAGTCTCTCGTGCCTAGCGTGTCGTGTGTAAGTTTCGTGTCAACCGAAGCCGTTTGGTAATTTTGGGGCGTCAACACCTTACATTCAAATTTCTTAAGAACTGACTTGCCTAGACGAAATCCGGCTATACTCCAACACCGGGAACCGATTCGAGCCCCGTCTTCCTCCTACCGTCTCAAGTCTCTCGTGCCTAGGCAGTTGTGTGTGTCAAGTTTCTTGCCAAACCGACGCCGTTTAACAATTTTGGGGCGTCAACACCTCGAATTTAAATATCTTAAGGGACCAAATTGTCTAGACCGAAATCTGGCTCTTACTCCCAAACCGGGAACCCGATTGGAGCCCCGTCTTCTCCCACAAGTCTCTCGTCTTTAGGCGGTCATGTGTGCCCAGTTTTGTGCCAAACCGACGGCGTTTGGTATTTTGGGGCGTCAACACCTCGAATTCAAATTTCTTAAGGAACTACTTTTGCCTAGAGTGAAATCCGGCTCTAACTCCCAAACCGGGAACCCAATTTGAGCCGTGTCTTCTCCCAAAACTCTATCGTGTTTAGGCGGTCATGTGAGCCAAGTTTCGTGCCAAACCCACGGCGTTTGGTATTTCGGGGCGTCCACACCTCAAATTCAATTTTCATAAGGAACTCCAAAATCGGGAACCGAATTGGAGTCCTGTCATCTCCTACAAGTTTCTCGTGCTTAGGCGGTCTTGTGCGCCAGGTTTCGGGCGAAACAGACGCCTTTTGGCGATTTCGGGGCGTCAACGCCTCGAATTCAAATTTATTAACGAACTAATTTGCCTATAGTGAAATCTAGCTCTAACTCCCTAACCGGGAACCTGATTGGAGCCCCGTCTTCTCCCACAAGTTTCACGTGCCTAGGCGGTCGTGTGTGCCAAGTTTCGTGCGAAACCGACGCCTTTTGGCGATTTTGGGACGTCAACACCTCGAATTTATGTTTTTGAAGGAAGTAGCTTGCCTAGAGTGAAATCCGTCTCTAACTCCCAAACCGGGAACCCGATTGGAGTACCGTCTTCTCCCACAAGTCTCTCGTGCCTAGGCGGTCGTGTGTGTCAACTTTCGTGTCAAACCGACGCCGTTTGGTAATTTTGGGGCGTCAACACCTCGAATTCAAATTTCTTAAGGAACTAGCTTGCCTAGGCCGAAATCCGGCTCTAACTCCCAAACCGAGAACCCAATTCGAGCCCCATCTAGTCCCACAAGTCTCTCGTGCTTAAGAAGTCGTGTGTGCCAAGTTTCGTGCCAAACCGACACCGTTTGGCGATTTTGGGGCGTCAACACCTCGTATTTAAATTTCTTAAGGGACCAAATTGTCTAGACCGAAATTTACTTCCAAACCGGGAACCCGATTCGAGCCCCGTCTTCTCCCATAAGTCTCTCGTTCCTAGGCGGTCGTGTGTGCCAGGTTCGTGCCAATCGAACCCTGTTTGGTGATTTTAAGGTGTCAAAACCTCGAATTCAAATTTCTTAATGACCTAGGTTGCCTAGAGTGAAATCTGGCTCTAACTCCCAAATCGGGAGCCCGACTAGAGCCCCGTCTTCTCCCACAAGTCTCTCGTGTTTAGGCGGTCATGTGTGCCAAGTTTTGTGCCAAACCGACGGCGTTTGGTATTTTGGGGCGTCAACACCTCGAATTCAAATTTCTTAAGGAACTACTTTTGCCTAGAGTGAAATCTGGCACTAACTCCCAAACCGGAAACTTAATTGGAGTTCTGTCTTCTCCTACAAGTTTCTCGTGCCTAGGCGGTCGTGTGTGCCATGTTCCGTGCGAAACCGACGCCTTTTGGCGATTATGGGGCGTCAACACCTCGAATTCAAGTTTCTTAAGGAACTAGTTTGACTAAAGTGAAATCCGGCTGTAACTCCCAAACAGGAAACCCGATTGGAGTCCTGTCTTCTCACACAAGTTTCTCGTGCCTAGGCGGTTGTGTGTGGCAGGTTTCGTGCGAAACCACGCCTTTTGGCGATTTTGGGGCGTCAAAAACTCGAATTCTAGTTTCTTAAGGAACTAGTTTTCCTAGAGTGAAATCCGGCTCTGACTCCCAAACCGGGAACCCGATTGGAGTACCGTCTTCTCCCAGAAGCCTCTCGTGCCTAAGCTGTCGTGCGTGCCAAATATCGTGCCAAACCGACGCTGGTGTGGTGATTTTGGGACATCATCACCTCCAATTCAAATTTCTTAAGGAACTAGCTTGCCTAGGCCGAAATCCGGCTATAACTCCAAAATCGGGAACCCAATTACCTAGGTTGCCTAGAGTGATCTGGCTCCAACTCCCAAACCGGGAACCCAATTCGAGCCGTGTCTTCTCCCAAAACTCTATCGTGTTTAGGCGTTCATGTGTGCCAAGTTTCGTGCCAAACCGACGACGTTTGGTATTTCGGGGCGTCCACACCTCGAATTCAATTTTCATAAGGAACTACTTTTGCCTAGAGGCCAGACCGACGCCGTTTGGTGATTTTGGGGCATCAGCACCTCGACTTCAAATTT